TCAAAGATTTAAGTCCCTGCGATTTTTAATTTCTTCGGTATCAAGATCAAATCACAATTCTGCTGGGTTCTCTAAAGAATTCCTTGGAATTTTTTAAGAATACGAGTCCTAGTTCAAAGCTTCTCAAAATTACAGAACATTGCTGTTTAAAAATTCTGAAGCTGAGAAAATATAAATTCGACGATACTCGAAGAAAAGAATCGAAGGAAGTATAAAATCGAGTGAAGTACTGCAAACAGAGAACAGTGACACGACAGTAGTTTCCTGCTTCCCCTTCGGTAATAAATGTATACAGTGATACTGTCGATGGTATAACGATTGATAAGACCACGAAGAAGTCTACCACAACTCTTACGCAATCTATGCGAATTCTATTCGCTTCTACTTTACAAATACGGAACTCTGCAACTTTTATAGAAATGTTACACAATAGAAATAAACCTGCATCAAAATCTCCTATTTTTAGAAAAATCCTCACCTTTGACGCATTCTATCCTCCTACGTTTATTTTAATTTGTATCGTATAAAAGTTAAAATTTTGAAATCAATCCACATCCCCAAAATTCTTTTAGTATCGTTAACACCTGAGAAATGTTTCATCGTCCTATAATCTTTCAGTCAATCTTCCTTCGTAGTTTACAAGACTTTTTATCGGAAAATTAATACAGTAACCAGTAAATTCTGGAGACACGGCCTTGCGAATCGCAAACGCTGCCGCTGCAACACGTTATGGCGATGTCGTCGATGTTGCGTAAGCGTTAGGCATCTCATTCAATCGAGTTTTCTAAGTGTTACATCTGAGTCACCCTTTCACGGTGATTTATAATGGACAAGCTTTTGCAGATATTAGAAAAGTCCCGGACTATCGCCATGTTCTAACATATGATAAAAAATCTTTTAAACCTAACGCCTATTTTTTTATCCAATGTCTAGTCATTCTCTTTAAAGACAAGTAGTTTGTAAATTCGCTATGAAGTTTCCTGAAGGAAATTCTAATATAACTTTAGACACAGTGCAAAACCTGATGATTCTTAGAAAATTTGTAAACTTATCGCTTAATATCGCAGATATAGAACTTAACATAGAACTCGGCATTTATGTCACCATAGAGACCAACTACTGTTTCAGACCTACTAAAATAGTAACAAACTATTTTCCAAGAAATTATTACAGCACAGAAATAATTTGTTAGTTATTAATTTACAAGTACAAGCTTCTGAAGCAAGTCGAGGAGATTGATTGATATCACTGATCTAGTTTCAAATAAATTTCTCGCTCTGTAATAATTCCAAATACTCGGACCCAGGAAAACAATGGCTCAGAAAACAAAGAAAGCAAGAGTATTTAAGAACCAGATTTCTCGTTTCGTGATGCATTAAAGGCCACCAGGCTGACGATCTTACGCGTATACCTCGAACCAAACGAATCGTGAAGCTGCGCGCCTTTCGCTTCCGGTTCACCGATCTCTCCACATTCGTTAGGCTGCGTTCTCTGTTCTCGACATTTATGTGACCACTTTCGCTCGGTTCAATGTGTTTCGAGTCGCTACGCGGTGTCGAATTCATCTGTCCGATTAATAATACTACAGCCATTCGTATCACGAATCTCCAATCAACGTGCACCAAATATTCAATCCTGACCCAGTGTTTCATAAAAGGAGTATGTCATTTGAGAACGAAAGAGAAAGGTCACTTATCCGTGACTTCAGACACGATCCAGGAAATTTTTCTCGTGAAATCATTTCTTTATCGACACAGAAACCTGAACTGTCAGAGATCTGGAAAAATAAATGAAATGGAATAATTTGGAGATTAACCTGTCTCCTATAAAAGGACACAAAGAAGACTATAACTATCGTACTAGATTGCAGAATGCTATGGAATTAAATTTTACGAAGAACCTGATTAAATATATTATTAAAAAAATTTCACCTGATTTTGTTGGTAATATAACATAAAATTCTATAATATAGTTTCCCAGTGATATCTGAAAACTAATTATAAAATATCGTATAAATGGTTTAAAAAAATACCTTCTATTATTTATTACTACGTACGTTATAATCGAAAGCTATTTTCTTAATTCGCGGCAACGATGACGTCACTCAAGATGGCGGCCACATTACGAAAATCCTTCGAATTCGTCTCACTGCGAACACCTTAAATATCTATAATATTCATTAGAGCTAATACAGCAATTCCTGTAATGAAGCCTGGGCAATTTAGAATCATTTGGACAATCAGTTTATGCAGGAACTCGCGTTAGCCGGCTAACAATAAACAACTCGTATGCGGATCTCGCACGGATGAATGCATCGTGTCCGGTGCATGTCCTTGTGCATTCACGAAGCTCGTCATTTCGCGGTATTTTACGAAAAAAATGCATACACGAGAGAAAATCGTTCATTTTTCAATGTACCTTGTGTTTTGTAATATATACAATTGTCTATCGCTACTTTTTACGCCATATCGAATTCGCTTCGAATCCCGATTTAACCAACGCCATTAAATTGTCAAGTAAAGAAGATAAAATTTGATGGTTTCACTTACAGGAGATGTTTCCAGAGAAAGTTTCGCATCTGCATCATCCACGGTGTCATCTAGGCCTGATATTCAGCTTCTGCACTCACTTTTTACAACAATAACCATTTATCACATTAGCACATTACGCAATCACAACGGTCACTGACCAATTTGAAATTTCCAATGCAATATGGTGGTTCAATTGTTCAACTTTTTAGTGTATAGAGTGCGCTATAGATGATTGATGAAATATGATTCACATCGATAATTCAGTTTCCGGGATACCCATCAAAGTAGTGTTACCGGTCGAAGTCACGTATAGGGAAGAACAGAAAAATATTAAAGAATAAGAAAATATTAGATTCTTTTCCTAATCGACTATAAATATAATTCTAAAAGTTTATGCAAGTTAAGAAATCTACGTGCAATTTTGCTTCTTAAATGAGAAGTATCCTATAATATACTAACAAAATATGCGTCGATTTTTTTTGTTCGATTATTACGTATACCGATGGCAGGTTTCCGATGGCGCCACGAAATTCCATGAACCTGAGCCAGATGCCAGTAGAGTCTGACTCTGTCCGTGCTGCTCTCTACAGGAGATCTCACTAACATTGTAAGAAGATTCTTCTTATCGCATTACATTTAAGGCAAGATTTCTTTTTATATGTTGCGTATTAGATTCAACGGATAATTCTAATGTCAACCAATACCATACTCAAGAAAGCAAAGTATATCAAAGATCTTTACAACTTCAATTAAACTTCATCTACAAACTACGAATAATTCACGACAAACAGGTATCGAAATATCAACTGAAGCACTTCGTATTCATAAAAACAAATACAGAAGAGTTATGATCCTAGGTTGGAAACAAATTCATTTTAAAATATCAGATAAAAATAAAAATAATAGTATTTTCACTTATAAAACTATGACTCGAACAAATTTCTACTGACAATCGTTTAATCAAATTCTAAATAATTCTACAGGTTTCAAAGTATAAAACACACGACAGGATGTATATGGCGTAACTAAGAATTTTCAATTATCATTGATAATGACAAGTCTAGTACTATGAAAATCAGATCAATCAATCCATCGAACGTTTAATTTAATGCCACCTGTTTATCTTCGCATAAATAATCGGTGCACGTATAACAGATTTTTTAATATCCTCTAATAACCTATAAATATTTTTTTCTATATAATACCTGTTCCCTGTCAAGGAATTAATCATTTGTTACATTTGGTTTGCATACTTTATATAATATCTATATTTTATTTCATACACAATTTTTCTTTTCTCTGTTTCACTTACACAAATACATTTTTCCTTAGGTATTCATGGATATAATTATACGAGTATTACTAGAATTAACCTTTGATTAATTCATTTTGTCTAATCTGATCCATGAACAAGTTGCTCTTATGGTATTTGCGACACATTACCATTTATTATGGTCTATTTCATCACAATGATTACTAATCTATAATTATTTGTCTATCGTCGTAGCAACTTAAAGAAATAATTATACTATAATAGTAACTTTTCACTTCATTTCAGTCAATTTGATCAGTCATAATCGAAGCCACATGGTATGATATACTGATTTATGTCAATCATAGTAAATGATACAAAGAATCATAACATCTTTCTTTAGGCGAATTTTATTAACTGATTCATATATTTATATAGATAGACGATACCATGGGCCCAGAAAATGGCATTTTCGGAAAATGGTCATTTTTTAACCAAAGGTGTAATTTTAGAAATGGAATTCGAGTACATGTTATCCCGTTCCGTTCTTTACCACGAATCGGTGATAATTCGAACGGCAATTTTTCGAGTAGTCCTCTAATTGTACTCTCAATTTGCAAGTCAAACAGCCGGAAGAGTACTATATTTACGAAGGCATGAGAAAACAGCTTCGATGACGTCACTGTTTAAAGGTCTGTCGTACTCTTCTGGCGCTATTCGGTACTGTTTTATTTCTGCTTGGGTAGACTAGAAGAAAGAAAGAGAAAGAGAGACGTGCTGATTCGAGAGAAGAGCAGATATGCGAACATCAGAAAGAAATAGATCGAAATCGCTTGATTTTTTTGCTGGATCGTCGCCAATTATAAAACCATGCGGTCAGCCTGAATTTAGTGGATATCGAGCCGAAAATGTGCCGAAGACGATCGTCTCTTGGAAACATGATTGTTTGATATTTAATCGAGCGACATTTGGTGCATTCGATGAAATATAAAAAATTTCAGTACTCAAAAATTATGTGGAATTGTATTTTACGTTTCAAATTATTTGGCTAAACATCGTAGACGTTCCTTGATAGGCTAATTAAACATTATCGACGCATGTTGCAGAAAGGATAATTAATTAAAATTTTAAATAAATATAATACTCCAAGGAAGATGAAATAACCATAAACATTAATTATAAGCAAACCAAATATTTTGTGTGAAAATTAATGTAATATTTATATTATGTGTAAGTATCTACACGAAATCTCAATGTATTTTGATAAAATTATCTCGAATTTGGTATAAAATATTGATTAATTCAACGATAGAATGGCGATCGAAAAAACACCCAAAATCGAAGCCCAAGTCGTGGAAGCTATTCGTAGATTACAGGCCATTCAAGGATCAACTCCACGAGAAATCAGTAGTTATATTGCACAGGAATATAATATTCCTAGTTCTGAAATTAGACGTCACGTTCATATTGCCTTGAAACGTGGTGTGACTTATGGAATTCTTCAGCGTTTGAAAGGGTAATGTAAACAAATTTTTTAAGTCTTCTATTCTGTTCAAATAAAAACAAAAAAATTCTGTAAAAGAAAATTGCAATTAAAATAACATAAATTAACTTTTTGCTACACAAAAGCTATTTAAATTACGCACAATGAATATTCAACACATTAGAATAAACAGGATTTCATTCGATACACTATCTGAAGCAAAATTTTCATACAAATTTTACCTTGTCTAGGGGATGCTATACTTACAATCAAGACTTCTTCGGTAGCGAATGCTTAAACAGCGGCGATGCCGATGTCCAAGAGCGTTGCAAAAGAAGAAGAAGGAAATTGGTGAGTAGACGAAGAAGTGGTAGAGCTCGACGAAGATCTCGTAGACGAAGATTACGAAGAAGAAGAAGAAAATCTTCTGGGAGAAGAAGGAAATACGGAAAACGAAGAAGGGAAGCGTTTCCGAAGGAAATCGTCGGACTCGAGATGACCACCGTGACCAAACAACCGACGAAAAGCAGCAGCCTCTTAGCGAAAGATACTTCGCAAAGCAACCATTCTACCATCTCTGGAGATTCTGAGGCAAAGCAAGAATAACTCTCCTGCAGATATCCCATGTTTTATGATCGACTCGAGATGCAAAGATTGACTCAAGCAGAAGAAGAAACAGATGCAAGTAAAATTCATGATACGAGTGTTTGTCTGAATCCATTCAAATGCATTTCCCAGTTTAAACATCTTTTTATTGGAATATCTTCTTCGCAGTATGAACAGACACAGTGGGTAAGAACATATGTTTATAGTTCTCTTTAAAAATTCTATAATATTGTCCAAGATCATTGGTAACGTCAGATTTCCTTTTGCAGATTGCTGAGAACATTTAGAATTCATTACGGAAAAACGAAGTAGACAGGAACGAAGGAAGTTCTTAGAAAACTGAACATCGATCATGCAGATACATTTGAATGAATATTTTATTTTATTTCTTTTTTTCTATTTTTAGTTCTTTTATATTTTTATATACGTATAGACAACTTCTACAACTTTAGAAAAAATTGTTTAAGACGAACGGGAAAATAAATTTCCGAGATTTTTATACGTAAAATGAAATATTTAAAGGATACGAGTATCATCGAATTCTGAATCACAGATAAACTTTCGTCTTCCAAAATTTGTACAACGGCGAATTAAAAATAAATTTTCAAAATTTTCGTACGAGAAACGAGTTGTTTGAAAAATAGATAATCTTCAGATGATTAATCAGAGATAAATCCTGAAAATTTCAGTGTATAAAGTTTGGTGATTGAATCCATTTAGCAAGTTAAAAGCCGTGGCCGTTTCTCAGCAATGACGGCCCTGCTCACGGCCTTGTTGGCTAATGATAGTCTTGCTAATGATGCGTTCGCACACGCACACGTGTAGTTGTAACGCGTGACTATTTCACCTAGCAGCCTCTATGGTTAGGCGGGCATCGTTCAAGCCAGAAACATTTGACAATAAATACACAATGTTTGACTATTAATGCATACTGATCAACTAGAAGCATCCTGCATCGTATATTCTGCTGTCTTTATGTTGGAGAGAATTCAAATACTAATCGTTTGTTAATATCCAATATGTTTTTTACAGCCCAACATTGTACTTTATTACAACGTTTCATGACAAAATTATCTGAATTACAGATTCTTTGATCCAAGCAGAAACTAAAAGTGGAAAGTAAAAATTACTGGCCTGTAACACACGAAATTTCTACATCTGAATGGAACGAAGACATCGACGAAACAACTTTCTTAATTTCTTCATTAAAGAAATTAGACGATGTGATTCAGCTGACCAAAGAATATCAAGTCAGGTTTAATCCGTTTTTATGGACACGGATTTAAAATACCTTCTACTGAAAGTAGGATCTTCTAAAGTTTTCAGAGTGAAAAATCTTTAGATAAGATATCGTTTTGAATATTTTCTTAATTAACTTCTGATTAAGCTGATTCTCAGCAATATTATTAAATAGTAAAATTATTCCACCGATTATAGACCTTTAATTATATTATACTTGTAGATTCCAAAGCGCTTGTTATCTGAAAATGAGCGACGACTGTGCTTCGAATAGCCCTGGTATCTTCGAACAATTGCCAAATATCACGTGAACCGGAAAGCACTGCTTTTGAACCGATCGAACGACGGATGAACATACATTTTACTATCGTAAGGACACCGCCAAGCGATACACGATGCATGAATAAACGAATAATCATGCGTACACCGATAACAGTATCTCGAATGAAATCGTCAGTCGCATAATTACTCGAGAGGCAGCCAAGATAAAGCTGCTTGTTAAGAAACGTAACGAGCAGGTAACGCTAGACCAGCGCACGCTATTGTGAGACGAAGCGTGATTTACTCGACGCTATCTCCTTTGCAGTCGATGCCTCCGTTCGAATATACAAGAACATACAGGGTGATTCCTCACACGGATGAGTACAAATTTATTAACCCTTTCAGCTCTAAATACCTTCACGACGTGTACATACTGCGGATCAAATATTTCTCGCAGGGCAGTGTAGGAAGAATATACAGTATATCGAACGTATATTAGATTATATGAGTTTTATATTTTATACTTGGAAAGTTAAGAAAACATTTGATAACGTGATACAGGTGTTTCATAGACAAATATAAAACGGGATAAAATAATGAACAGGAAGAGAAGAAGAGGAATATCCATATGAGACAGAATTGAGTCACAGAGAAAATTACCAACGCAAAAATTTCTATTCTACGATATATGAGAAAATAATTAAAAATCTGACTCATTAAAACGTCTAAATCTTGTCTATTAAGTTATCTAACAGACGTAGTAAAAATATAGATAACGCAGCATCTGCAACAACCAATGCACGTCATACACGCTAACCAAACATCAATGAAAATTATATCACTATGCATCTTTATATACCTTATTAAGAAACAGTCGACTCAGTTGGCAAATTATCGCATAGCACTTAATCGATGATGGGTGCTCTTTCAAGTTAAGTACCATTTATCGTGACCACATCTTTTTCAGAAATATATTCGAATCTGTCATGATTATAAAAAAATATAAAACAAGCTAAAAAACGCAACAAAATTTAACAACATCTAGTAAAAATGTTTCGCAAAAGCGATTAGAAAAAAGCATTCCAAAGTCACTGAACTTCAGCAATACAACAAATTCCCAGTAAGACGAGGTAACTATAAATTCTGTCAATTCCTACGTCCAAATCTTGAACGTGTCGACGCCTAATCGATTTTACGACTTCCCTACATAGTAGAATCCGCAATATATGTTACTCAAGAAATGCCTATAACCTTTCTTTCAGTAAAATCGTTGCTGACGTAATACCCTTCCCTAAACCTTCAGGGTCACTTGAAATTGATTCAATTAACTCAAGTTCCATCTTCCTATAAAAGGAAAATATCGCAATCGAATTAAATCACGGAAAGAAAGCAAAGGAAAACGAATTGCTGAAATACTTTCACGAAATGGAAAGAGGATATATCCCTTACAAAACATGGCGAAGAATATTCAGCGAGACAGGTATACACATGTAACGAAAACCTTCGGAGCTTACACACGGAGAATTCTCAACGCGAGTTCCGGACCTTCCCAGACCTTGGAAAAAGGAAAAGGAAAAAAGATGGTACCAAACAAACCGAAACCAAATTTATTCCAAAGACCACAACGAATCGTCGAAACGTTCGAGCAAGTTTATTCGCGATTGTTTCCGCGAAAAAAATCGCGAATGGAACCGAGTACGATGACTTCGAATAGGAAACAAACCGGAGCCCACTGCTTTCGGTTCTCGCTTCTGTGCAACCCGGCGGGAATAATATTCGATTTGGAGACGGGCCAATGGTAAAAAGCGGATCTCGAGTATGTGCATCGGTGCTATTTCACCTGCATATTCGCGTTACCATGCGAAATACGCGAAGACTCGAGGCACGTGGTGTGCTTTGGTCCACTCGTCACGTGTCTATGCGTAACTCGTCCAATATTTCTATTTCGCACGTTATCCTCTAGTCCAGAGGAATCGCCGTATACACTCGTGAATCTCCGTCTATCTATAGTACCCGACGTATTCTGTCGCGTGATGCAACTTTATAAGCACGAGGTCCTTCGAAATAGTTCAGATAGCACGCTCGGGAAGCGGAGTCAGGTTCGCGGGTAATGAACGACCGATTGAGACATCCGCTGTTTATACACATTGTTTTGTAAAGTAAAATCGAATTATTTTCTATTCGTAGCGCAAGGATTCACGCGCCTCTCCGAATAAATTATTCTACTGTACTCCTTTGAGCTCGCCAACGTGTAAGGTACCAGCTATCGAAACGTTCGTGGATTACGAAACCTGCTGTTCCGTGAAATTAAGTAAGATATTTAATTAAGATTCGTAGCATCGGTATTTTTATTTGAAGAATAAAGGGAGAAACGAGGAATGTTTGTTTTGGAGATTTTAGCCGTATATTTTGGCAATAGTTAAATCGATTCAATGGTTCATCAATTCTCAAGCAAATCGTTGAATTCTACAGGTTTTCCAATATGAATAATACCAGTGATTGAAACGTCTGTGATTTAGACATATTGTCACGTGGAATGGATTAATTTCTTATTCATTGCATCTACATATACTGAGAAAGCTGTAGCTTAAAGCTAATACTCTGGAGCCTCAGAAATTATCACAAGTAAGTTGATGGAATTAAAATTAAAGCGAAATTAGAACTTCGCGTTAATTGGTAAATTTCTAATAGCTATGTTGTTTTTCTTCTTTCAGTTTCCATTTATTGATTCTTTTATACGAGTCCAAACATAGAAAATGTGCTGCAGAAGTTGCTGGAGGTCAGTAAATTTAGAATTTGAAGACAGTTGTATAAACATAAGGAAAATTCAGTCTCAACTCGGGGAATTCAAGGCTGATGACTTTTCTTTGGAAATCGAGCCACGAGGAAAACCGCAAGGAAGCCACCGACCATAAAATTTGAAGAGGTTTTAAGAATAAGACATTTCGCCATTATTCGTCCCACGAATACTAAGGCCAAAGAAGATGGACAAATGTGTCCCGCGTGAATTGAACGATGCACAAACGTTTCAACGTAGATAGTCAGCGAAGCTGCTTCAAAGAAATAAACAGGATCCATTTTCGAAACGTGTCGTCACTTGTGATGAAAAATGGATCTTATATGATAATCGAAAGCGTTCGAGACGATGGCTGGATAAAGAGGAACGTGTGGAACACGTGCCAAAACCACATTTTTGTCCGTGGAAGATAATGGCAAGCGTTTGATGGTCATCGGCAGAACTTATCGTTTCCATATCCTACAAAGACACCAAATTTTGCCACTTGCCAATTTTTATTTCTTCCAATGCCCTGATAACTTCTTAACCAATAAACCTCGAATGATTCCTGCAAATAGAAAACGCATAAAAATATAAAAATAGCACTGATTGGAATTCATAATTCTAGACCTAATAATAACAAATAAATAATATTCTGAAATAGCTACACGTAATTAAAGCTTCGTTTGACCAAATGAAATTTCACATGCACCGAGCTAATACCTTTGG